TAGTTTTCCTGTTTCTCGTCTCAGAAACACCCAGATGTCTTTCAAGGTAGCGTTGCGTAATTCGCCTTTCGAAATTTCCTAATTAAAATAGGCGAAATAGGAGAGTCTGGGTTTTTATAACAAGCGATGAAGTTACTTCGAACACACCTTCCAATCTGTTTCTCTGTACAAAATAATCGGAGACAAGTGACTGGATTTTCACACAAGGGACAAAAACGCTGTTCACGATTTGTTTTGTGTTGGGTTTTTGAGCTTTTTTGGATTTTTATCATCTCACCAACCTAATGTTTGTCAGGTGTAGCTCTTGGAAAAGTTTTTCAAAGGCAGACATCCATAAAAGCGGAAATCTCAGCTTCCGGAATTACCAGCATAGAACGACAATCCTTGTTCATCCTTCGTACACTAATCCCGTCCCAGCAGGATTCCAAAAGAAGACGAGCCACCATCTTGAGAAGTCCATTTGAGCACCCCTTTTTTCGGCCACCATTGGATATGTGGTTCTCCCTAAGATAAGCTATCCTCCGTTGATCCCCATTCTCGAGTCCTCCTTGCGGATCCATGGTTGCACTTCAGTTTTTCTGAAAAGCAAATCCCTCCAAACCATACTTTGGAACCTCATCGAAGAACCACGAATCTGCTCATCGAAGACTACCATATACATATGAGAAAATAAATACAGGGGACAGATTTCCAAAAGGAATTGGCCTCTTTCTTTAATGCACTCGTAAGTTTTTAGAGCCAACTTGAGGTTATCTATGCCAAAGTCGTCTGGCTAGGGTTTACCGAAGAAAACCAGCGCACCTACGACCGCTTCACAAATGTGACTCGTTCATTCAGCGTTCTACACCCCCGTGTAATGTTTAGCAGCTATCCAACGGTCAGACAAAACTACGAAGTCACCTCTATGTGTACACCAGTTTGTTTGCTCGTGTGGGGTAAGCTACATTTATCGGACGACAAGAATGCTTGAGCATTTGAGGGCTGATAACAGTTCGGAGCTAACACGGAGAACACAGTACAGCAGTTTTTGCTTTCTGGGGGCCGGTCACGGACTATAATGGAGATCCAGGATTGGAAATCTGGCCGCCGGAGAGCCCGTAGCTGTCGAATTTCACAGACGTGCGTTGTGTGTCTGATCCAAACTCCATTCTTGAAATTTTTATCCTACTTCCGTCAACTAGGGAGCAACACAGGTTGACCTGATTGACCCTCATCATGCATATTTTCACGACGTGAGACGAAACAGTTCGATTCTCCAGTGCGCCCGTACTCACACGTCCCTGAATCCTCTCCGACTCAGCATTGACGAAACATCCTATCCATGATCCTTGATGAATCTAAAATGCACGTGCAACCCCAAAATAGTTTACAAAATCAGGTTTTCACCTGCTTCTTGGGCGAAATCCACAGTTAGACAATTCTCTGAGGTTACACACAGTTAAGGAATTCCGTAGTTGTGTTTTTATGACAAGGCTGGCCATCGGTACCAAACTGCTGCCTAGAATACATTGCATGGGCAACCTCCAAGCATCCCTCATTTATTCGGTGCAGTTTGTGAAGAGAATATACCACGTTGTGGATCACAGCCTTACTGAGATTGGTTTTTCGGGAGAAAAGTTGGTCCGCCAGACAATGCAGCGATTCAGTTCTGCCGACATCAGTGCCATCCATTTATTGGCATTTCAGCATTCGGCTCGGCAAAAGAGGAAGGCCTGTGAAGAATTTGTGCTTTAAATATGAAAATCTATCTATCAGTTTCCTTATTTATGGATAGTAATTCTTGTTGCCTATCCCAAAGAAAGCAATTGTCGAGCGGAAACATAAATCAGGCCTGAAGAAGCTGGACACTGGAGGTTTTTCATCCTTATAGGGACCTTGTATGCGTCAGTGCAGGGAAGTAGCCGCGGACCGTCCTTCACTCAGCTGGTAGGGCGGATACATGGTCTTGCAGTCAACAGCTGTTAGTGAAAGGATCACGTAACAGATTCCCTCTGCGCTAAGTGCGGCTAGGTTTCTCCGAATACAGGAACAAGTTTCTCATAAACAGTTCGTCAGACTCCAAGTTCCATCGTTTAGCTCCGTGAAGCCTGGTGATTTATCAAGCAGAAACCTGACTACTTAACAAAAAATCGTCTTCTTCTTACTGAAAGCTACGCTCAGAAATGTAAATTGTCCTTGCAAGTCTACGTAGCGTTAGAAGGCACCATTTCGATCCCCTTTTCAACCTCTTACTGTCCTTGTAAGCGTTCTTTGCGTTGGGCCAAAAATCAATTGATATTATTCACGCCGTAGGAGTTTTTTTTCGGAATTTCCGATATCAGAACCAAACCGAGGGTGTCGATAGCGTATTCATTATGCGCAGGGATTGTTTTACTTCTTAGTAGTGTATTTGCATCGTTCTACTTTAAAATGTCACTACTCTGGGAAAAGATTGGTCGGCATAAAACAGCTCGGATATGTTGGTACCTATCGGTGTTCACCGGTTCACATCATAATCCAGATCGGCTCGCAGCGATGTATGTACCGTAACCCGCACTGTATGTTAGGCTATGCAGGACTGGTGTTTAGCTTGTTCACAACTGTTTCTGCATAAACTTAAAGAATCGTTCCGAATCCTCACTACACCCTCTCTTTCGCAATGTCGGGCAACCAAACATCCGTACTTTCCTGTTTAGAAATTAGGAGACTGTCAAGCAGAGGGTTGTTCAGACGCCCTCGTCACAACTTCAACCTTTTGCTATTCTCTACCGAACCACCTTCAGTTCTAAATGAGATTTTTGTCATGTAGAAAGGATCAAATGAGTTGGTATTGATTCTTCCCTGTTCTTCTTGTGTACAATGTCATTCCTTATTGTTTCCGTTTTTGTACCTACACTGTCCTTCTTATTTTAACTGGACGTAAACCGCCCTTTGACCTTGTCATCGTTTAGACTAACATGTGGGTTTCTCCATTTTGTGGCCTCCTTGCCTTGAGTTGCCGTGAACTTTGGGACCCCGTTCGGTGCATAGAAGCCGGCGTATTCCCACGATCGCAGGTCTGCACAGTTTTATCATTTTATTATTGTATTTTAGTGCCGCGGTGTACAATGTCATTCCTTATTGTTTCCGTTTTTGTACCTACACTGTCCTTCTTATTTTAACTGGACGTAAACCGCCCTTTGACCTTGTCATCGTTTAGACTAACATGTGGGTTTCTCCGTTTTGTGGCCTCCTCGCCTTGAGTTGCCGTGAACTTTGGGACCCCGTTCGGTGCATAGAAGCCGGCGTATTCCCACGATCGCAGGTCTGCACAGTTTTATCATTTTATTATTGTATTTATAGTGCCGCGTTTATTGATAAACCTCCTTTTGGGGTTTTGAGCGTCACTCCACGTGGTCCAACGGATTGTTGGAAACAATCAATAGTTGGTAGTACGAGATTTTGGGATTTCACAGCGAAATTTCGACCTGCAAGTGAAGCGAATCCATGGTAATCAGCCGGTCGTGACACAACGGCTAGGTGTTCAAGCTACTAGTCAGTAGGTCGCGGAATCGAAGTCTCCTGGATTTTAGTGAGATGTGCATCGCTCCTGATCCTAAGGGCTAAGCGGCTATACAGTGCTTCGTGACACAGATTGACTTCACTCAAAGAACGAAATCTCAATTAACGACCAAGTAAGTCTAGGTCACTAGGGGCATGAAATGCGTCCTTCCTTAGCTTAGCTAGACCAAGTCTAACAAAGTAGTGCGTGAGTTCCTGTATGCAGGATGTTAAGCCAAAAATCCCAAGCTAAGCGGACGTTAGGGTAAAGAAAGTTGACGATGATAAGTTGTTCAACCAAGTTATTGGTTCGAACGTGTTAAAATCAGGATTTGTTTGTGAAATCCTTCAAATTGTCCGCGGTAATTGGTCTCTGTTCAATAAATCGACCAAAGATAGGAAAGCGCGAGTAGTACCCATTGATATAGAAACACATTCATTGGCTAGGAACACAGTGAAGACCGATTTGTGGAATTGGCATTTTTTACGACAAACTATTAATAGTACTAATAGTAACAACAATAATAACGATATATTCACGGCAAACTACCTCACCGAAGTTATTTTGTATCGTTTTTGCGTAGAGCTAAATTCGGAAATGCTGAAATGATCGCGAAGGGTAAGGTGTCATGCGAAATGGGGACCGTCACGTGACTATCACCAATCATTCGGGTTGCCAGACTCACTCGCGTAGACTCACTTCACTAGGCATTAGTTTTAGTGCCCTTACGTAGGGACGGCCGGCTGACTTCCACTGCGGACTGGCAGGTCTGAAGTGGCACAAAGTTGAACTAGTCTTGCCATGGTAAATAAAATAATAAAGGACGATAGTCAGCATAATATTGGTTTATCTACACCTACATAGATAAGAAAGCCAAGGATGGAATCAAAAGAACACCGTAGCCCCAGGGCCATTTTGACAATCCACGAACAGCTTTCGCAGAGTGGGGCTCCCTGAAAAATCCAAGGAATGCTAGCACCGCGCAGCGACCTGCTCAAGAAAATCAATGAGCTTGACAGTAGCGAAATACACTCGTTTGCAAACCAATTTGGTTTTGCGGGAGACTCACCCGGAACCCATCTGAATCCCTTGTTCCAGATGAATCTCCTGCAGAGCCAAATTAATTTGAAAATGAGTGTTTCGCTAGTTTAATGGAATTCGGGCTCAAGTAGAACATCAAATTGACGGGAACCCGGGGACTGTGCCTATCTGATGAGCCCAAAGAAAGGTGAAACCGCTCGTCAGCTGGAGAATTTCCAGCAACCCTATGAGTAATGCATTACATCCAGCCTAATGGCTCATGCTTTGAAAGGTAGTGGTACTTCGAAATTTGGTTCTCCGGAAGTAAAATAACGCTCTAGCAAACAGATAAATACCCTTTATAAGCTACCAAAAGGAATGAGAAATATATAACCAGCAAACACCTACACCCATTATCGATTGAAGACCAATGAAAGTAGCAAGAATGAGGGTATATAGAATCGGTTTCTTCATATATTTGTGTAGATAAAAATGTACATAAATGCACGTTAGTCATCCGCGTACTGATCTGAGTCCAAACTGTCAATGTCCGGAAGGACTAAATTGAAGGGAAACAAAAAGAATGGTTAAACTGCAAGAGTGTTGGCAATAACTTGTGAGCATTTGAATAGACATAGAAAGCGGGATGACAGCAATTTATGGGCACAGAAGTAGTATGCAAGTGGGGCGAGATGGCCCAAGTGGTTAGAGGGCGAATTTACTGACCGGAAGGTCCGTGATTCGAACCCGACCTCTGCCTCCCGACTTCCCCTGTCCAGGCTTGGGCAAACTGGCAGTATCCCAGCCCTCGCGCTTCGGGTGGGTGGCATGGCAGTTAGGCATTGGAAGGGTGCTACAGCTGAAAGATTATTTTTTTATGCAACTACGACAGGAAGGAGAGCTCTAACAAACACCCGTATGCCCATGTTCAACAGCCTACCTATTCCAGATGCAGTGCCCACAGATTATGACATCAAAAACTTGCTCGATTTTCAATAAACCTGACGATATATGGAGAAAACCATATCGTTCGTGATAAAGGGACTCTCCTCGCGGCTATGGAGGCCCAGTGACCTTGAATAAATTAACCTAAAGACACCTTATGTATTTCCTGTTGGTAAGCTACGTAGGCGCATTAGAGATGCCGAATAGCAACGCCAGGTTTCGCAAGACTGAAATGGATTACTTCCCGCTTGCCGCATCGCTCTGCTCTTCACGACTTCATGCCTTAGATCCATAACAAGGCGTAAGCGATTTCGGTCCCAAATGACATCTTGACACCACGAGAACATCTAGACTGCCTTGATTCTGTCACTCCAATAGTATCATGCTCCAAGTGCGACCATCTTCTGGAACCGTACAAACTAATCTCGCCCTGCAGTGCAAGTAGTATAGTTTTGTTCCAAACTACCTGAGAAAACGGATGCACAGCATCCAGAAAGTAACAGTGAAATTCGTTCTTGTGAAAATCACTTTTGTCCTTGGACAAATCTGAAATTGGGAATTGAGAATATGGTGTAATTTTCGCGGAAACTGGAGTGCATGAAGTGAATTTACGGTGGACTGACGCAGGTTTTAGACTGACGGAGATGAGGCCTACCGTTTAAATTCACTACCGCTCTGAAGCTATCTTGGTCTTGACTCTTGTTGCTTTGACGATAGAGGGGTGATTTTTTAATCTACTCATAAGTGGGCAGTAGTACAATTTTGCTCATCTCGATGCGATGATCACAGAGGGTACGCAAGTGAAGTCAGGGAAGTACGCTTTTGTGCCCGAGCTTCATTCTCAAATAAAAAGCGAAAAGGTTTGCTCTAATCTCTGAATATGCACGTCAATGAAACGTATAGCAGGCCGTAGAGCATTATGCTAGGTGTTGAACTGGCCTCATGCTATCATGAAGGGTGACGTAAGCACACATTTCTAGTCAAAATCATTGTGGCTACAGAAACATAGTATTCGGCCTCATGGGTCTCCAAAATTGAGTCACAGCGTGGGTCGCGTTGCTACGCAGTTTCGAGTTCTCCTCGCACTGAGTATAAGGACCATCTGTTACTCGGAAACGCTGCTGATTTATATGTTATCATCGGGTACTTCGTGAGCGGTGTTCGGCACCATGGCATATACTTCGCGTGAGGAGATCAGCACAGAGGTTCGAAAAAAATAAGCGTCAATCAGTCATCAGAATTCGATGATTATAAAGATTCGAGGAAAAGAGGACGTGAAAAAACTAAAATATGGATCACCGAAGGGGAATGCACCGACCGATCGGTTGGGATAACTGTTTATCGGGTGAACACATTTAGCCGATTGTACTGACAAAGATTTTTCCAAAAGCCCGTATTTTGATGAGATGCCGAAACCCTAAAACTTGTGCGGCGTAACCCTCCAGTTCAAAACGTTTCATTCAGCCCAAGGAGCTCGAGATGGTTCGGTGATTAAGGCGCAACTTACTAACCAGAAGGTCCGTGGTTTAAACCCGACCTCTACATATCCACTACTCCTGTCTAGGCTTGGTCAACCTGGTAGCACCTCGGCTCTCGTGCTTCCCTCGGATGGCATTGCAGCTAGGAACCGACAGGGTGCTACAGCAGAACCGTTATTATTCATTATACATCCAAGGAGACCCAGAATTGTTCAAACAAAAGTAGCTTTGTGTAAATTTTTTTTAAAAAAAAGTTTATCGCAAATAACTTTTAATTTAGCCAGGACCACTTGCGTCAGGGGTCGTTTGGCTGTTCATCGCTGGCACGTCGCGTAATGTCCGTCGAATTCACCATGTGACCATTCTGATCACGTGAAACACTGGTTGGCTGGCGTTCGTGGTCCTATCTCTAGATTCCATTTTCCTTTGGTTTATGTATCACTGATGTGAAGGTTCAAAAAAGAATGGCGCAAAAAAGTCTGTTCGCTCTGCATATTCACTCTTCTCGATGATCAACGGTCGTTTATAAACCGTAACTTCCTTGAGAAAATTACTTGCGTATCAAAGGAGAAAGATACCACACCTTCACAAACATCAAAGAATGGGAGCTGAGTTCAAATTCGTGGTAAGGTCTCAGTTCAATAGGGTTGTATGTGCACATTTCCAATGCGGAGAGTTTGACGAACTTCGCAACTGAGAAAAACGTTGGTGGATCCAGTGGGGGCGAGATGGCTCAAGTGGTTAGAGCGCGAATTTACTGACCGGAAGGTCTGTGGTTCGAATCCGACCTCTGCCTCTCGACTTCCCCTGTCTAGGCTTGGGCAACCTGGCAGTATCCCAGCCCTCGTGCTTGCTTCGGGTAGCATGGCAGCTAGGCATCGGAAGGGTGTTACAGCTGAACGATGGTGGATCCAGTTGCAGTGCTGGTCCTTTGTTTGGGGAGTTTGCGAACTTGTCGCACACTGTCAACACCGATCCACATGACATTGTAGGATCGTGTTGGCGTAGCTAATGATGAGAATGATGATGCAGTGAGACTGTACTCAATAGCCGCCAACCAACCAATTTAGCATGCCGTTACATCGCTCCAACTGCATGCCAGTACATTGGCTAACGGCAAATCACACAATGTGAGATACTTGCCCTTGTACATCAGTCCGTAAGACCAATTTCACTGGGGGCGAGATGGCTCAAGTGGTTAGAGCGCGAATTTACTGACCGGAAGGTCTGTGGTTCGAATCCGACCTCTGCCTCTCGACTTCCCCTGTCTAGGCTTGGGCAACCTGGCAGTATCCCAGCCCTCGTGCTTGCTTCGGGTAGCATGGCAGCTAGGCATCGGAAGGGTGTTACAGCTGAACGATGGTGGATCCAGTTGCAGTGCTGGTCCTTTGTTTGGGGAGTTTGCGAACTTGTCGCACACTGTCAACACCGATCCACATGACATTGTAGGATCGTGTTGGCGTAGCTAATGATGAGAATGATGATGCAGTGAGACTGTACTCAATAGCCGCCAACCAACCAATTTAGCATGCCGTTACATCGCTCCAACTGCATGCCAGTACATTGGCTAACGGCAAATCACACAATGTGAGATACTTGCCCTTGTACATCAGTCCGTAAGATCCAATTTCACATGTTCCTTGCTGCATCCTAGTTCACAAACCGGAGTGCCATGTCGGGATACGATTGATATCGCATAAAAATATTTATGTGAGCCACCAGTGGGTATCATAAGGGAACAATCACCTCAGTGTGATCCTAATGGGTCACTTGGGAAACAAGCAGACATTCTTTCGCACTCAGTACAACGCTCTACTAACAAATTCCCATTCACAACCAGCTCGTAGCGATGAGCTGACTGAAGTATTCCCATTCACAACCAGCTCGTAGCGATGATCTGGCTGAAGTAAAGGCGTGAAAGCCGGTGTTCGGTTCCATAACCCAAATACAAAATCTAAGGAAGTTAACTAAACCGAGCAACAGGAACGGGAACATGAATTGGCGAGAACGAGAATCCCGGGGCAAAGGTAACAGTCTAATTTGACCGGTATCTGCAAGCTCCTCCTGCGTGTGGTTGCGTGTTATATATAGAAGGTACGGTAGCTTGAGATAGCCTTTAGAGGAGACAAAGGGCAATCCGTACAGCCGCATTTATCAAGTTATCACGGAATTTCCCACAAGGTCAATCTGGAACCTTTGTGATGAGACGAGAAGCGTCGAGCCACTCGAGCACGGTTACGAGTAGCTTACTATATACTGTTTAATCAGGGCGTGTCTCCGATTTCGCGACACATCCGTCCAATTGATTAATTAATGCGGCTCACTGATGGACACTGCGTAAACTTCCGGAGAGAGGGGCAAGCACTCGGACATAGTTTGAGTGATGATTAGGACCGGATTTCGGCGAATATCAACGCACATGAACATATACCACTTTCAATGGTCTTCCGATACTATGCTATCCCTGGCAAGCGACCTACGCGGTTCGACCGGTTGGGGTGTCCTATTCTCAAGCTAGCTTGCTAAATGACATAAAGCGGCTCTTACCAGTTGCTGAGATGTTACAAACCTGCTTGATGTTGCCATGACATACCCATACGACTACCGCAAGCCTTTCCGAGGTTCAGCCACCTGACCGCTAGACCAAACGTTTGAAGCCCCCTCCCCTGAAAAGAACTCCAGCTTGCTTTACTACAGGGGACAAGTGAGTAATTCTAGTCACACTTGCCCTGAACCAAAGTGCCAGCAGCAATGTCCTCATCTCTCAGGCTCTCACATCATCGAGAAACGCCGTCAGTCACCTCAAACGACGCCCCTAAGGAATAGCTCTGTTTGGCGATTATACGGCCAAAATGGTAACTAGAGGCTGCTATCGACTGTAGTTTCAAGCGTGATATCCTATTGTTGGCCGGTACCTTGCACGCTCGATTGGCCATGGCATTGACGAATCCAGTGAAAGTCTCGAGAACGGCAAGCATATGGTGGGTCCGCAGCCCTCAGTAGGATAGGCGTCTCCAAGACCTGCTTTCAGAACCCGTGAATGAATCTTGTTACTTGGTATTTAAACACTGTAGTGACCGGTAACCAAAGTACATTCTCGTCCAATCATGCTGGGCGTCCTCTGCTGAGGACGTTAAAATACCGGAGAACGTAAACAACAACCGGTAAACGTGACCGAAACTCGCGCAAAGGTCGTTCAAGTAAGCTAAGATGACACGCTCTTCCGGGACTAGGCCGCGAAACGGTAGCTCACACTGGAAAAATTCGCCTAACAAGCAATTTCCATGTTCAGAAATACCGGATTTCTGGTCACAAAATGAGTCACTATGTACTCGCAAAAGATCCATTAGCCAATCCACCGATGTTCCACAAGTTATCAAAAACAATGCTGGACGAAAATGGCAGCAAATACTGGAAGACTTTCACCCACCATTTAGAACGCCAGACAAACATCAAACACCCGAGTTCAACCTTCGTGATGCAAAAGGAGACCTATTCAATATCCCCTTTCAACAGTTTCCTCAGACCTTCACCTAGCAGTCCCCGAATGTGCGGTGACGACTTTGATCTTTTCACAAGAGCACGACAGGAACACTCCCTACTTCCCAGCCCCACTTAACTATGCTTTCACGGGGCTACAGCACATGTGCAAATTACGAAAGGTCCATGGATAACTGACCTGGAATAGGCAGGCGATGCTGTGTGAGTCGGACTATGTTTGTACCAGGTGGCGGCCTCAGTCAAAGGTCAAATATTTTGTTGGACAAAACGCCACCAATAGTTTTGCGAAACTTTCTACGCAATGGTACACCCATGATGGGCGGAAGAATCATGTTGAACAAAGTCGACACTTTGAACTACGTATCAGGCGGAGATAGAGTTGATCCATTCACAAGTGGGTTGGCTAGAAAAAGCACGAGGCGAATAGCTACATCCCTGAAGCTCCTTCTTCGAGCCTTTTCGATATCCCACGCAACCTGCTCATATTATTCAAAAACAAGCTAAAAGCGACACAGCAATTGTGGCTAATTTATGAGATGGTCCAAGTGGTAAGAGCGCGAATTTACTGAGGTACGGATTTACGAGGTACGAATCCCTCCTCCGCCTCTTAACTTCCCTGTCTAGGCTTGGGCAACCTGGCAGTATCCCAGCCCTCATGCTTCCTTCGGGTGATATGGCAGTTAGGCACCGGAAGAGTGCTACAGCTGGACGCTTTTTTTATGAGGAAGTGAGCTGGTCATGTCTGTGTTAAGATTGACAAGAAAGCATGATATCAGAAAAAGAAGTCGCTCACAGCAAAAATCGTCCCCATCGTCTTCCACATCAGATGTTGATGAGTTGTCCGTCGAATCCGGATTAAGTGCTTGGCATTCCGCAAGAGCCGCATACATCGTATCCAATGCATTTGGATCCTGGGGCACGAAACGGAGAATTGTAGTCTCTCCCGGACAGTCCGAAGCACGACCCTGGGAAGTGGCATCTTCCTGACTCTCGTTAGAGCCGTCTGTGTCAGAGTGTTCAGCCCCATCAATCGCCATCGGTTCGCCAGCAATTTGCCCATTCGGGTGTGGAGGGCTGTATGGTCGGTCTCCATCGATCATGACAAGCAGGTGCGGATGAGGAAACGTGTTTTCAGGTGCCGGTTGGTCTCCAGCAGCCATGACAGGATCTTTCGAAATCGCGTGAAGAGTAATCTGTTGGTATGGTACGCTGAACTGGCGTGACTGACCTTCCCATGTAAAGCATCTATAAAAAGCGCAAAACAAAATTGTAGAAAACGCGAAAATAGTAAAACGGTCTCACAAAGACCTGTAAATCAATAAGGGGAAACTGTTGTGAACCTTTTTTCTACAATTTGACCCTAACTCAAACAATAGGTAATTAAATACCTATCCAATAAACCTTTGCAACTCCGATCTAGTCCAAGAAACCTCACCAAAAACGGACATCCCTACCTGGACTTATCAAACTGAACCCTGAGCAGAAAACGCTGCGCCACGGGCAGTTTGTGATGAGGCAAGTTTGAGCCATTTGAGCCATGTGTGAATGAGACGGAATACGACAGGAAGATGAACAGAACGGACAGATTTAAAGCAACCAGCGAACCGAGCTGATGGTTCGCGTTTTAGATTTATGTACTGATCAAAAACTCGATAACTCAGTGAGAGCCTAGTGCCATATCAGTCAGATATTAAGGTCAAGGAGTGCGATATCCGCTAATTTGAGGACTCTCAAGATGGTATTCGCTTACTTGTTGAGTAGCATCGCCCCAATCTGAGAGCTGTTAGTGAGACTAGGCCTTCTCCGGGTATCTGAGACTCGGGAATGTATGTTCCGGAGCTGCTCTCTTTCCAAAATGATCGTCCTGAAGTGGGAGCTGATGGCGGTGTAATCACATGCCAGAAGGCTGACAACAAAGCTCACCTTGTTGAAGCTATATGTCACTACTGATTGTGATTGATTGATTGTCGTTCAGCTGAGCACCCTTTACCTCACCAAAAACGGACATCCCTACCTGGACTTATCAAACTGAACCCTGAGCAGAAAACGCTGCGCCACGGGCAGTTTGTGATGAGGCAAGTTTGAGCCATTTGAGCCATGTGTGAATGAGACGGAATACGACAGGAAGATGAACAGAACGGACAGATTTAAAGCAACCAGCGAACCGAGCTGATGGTTCGCGTTTTAGATTTATGTATTGATCAAAAACTCGATAACTCAGTGAGAGCCTAGTGCCATATCAGTCAGATATTAAGGTCAAGGAGTGCGATATCCGCTAATTTGAGGACTCTCAAGATGGTATTCGCTTACTTGTTGAGTAGCATCGCCCCAATCTGAGAGCTGTTAGTGAGACTAGGCCTTCTCCGGGTATCTGAGACTCGGGAATGTATGTTCCGGAGCTGCTCTCTTTCCAAAATGATCGTCCTGAAGTGGGAGCTGATGGCGGTGTAATCACATGCCAGAAGGCTGACAACAAAGCTCACCTTGTTGAAGCTATATGTCACTACTGATTGTGATTGATTGATTGTCGTTCAGCTGTAGCACCCTTTCGGTGCCTAGCTGCCATGCCACCAGAAGGAAGCACGAGGGCTGGGATACTGGCAGGTTGCCCAAGCCTAGACAGGGGAAGTCGAGTCAGAGGTCGGGTTCAAACCACGAACCTTCCGGTCAGTAAATTCGCGCTCTAACCGCTTGGACCATCTCGCCCCACATATGTCACTACTACGTAAACCCGATGGTCCCCTGATTCCGAGTTTTCGAAGACTGCAGTTCATTAATGGCTGTTGTTTCCAGAGCCCCGATGGATCCCGAAAGCAACCATCTGGATTGGAAAACTTATATTGAAGGCGAGAACTCTCTCACCGTCGATGAATTACATGTTTTCCCATGTTGGCGTCTTGTAACTTTACTGTTGTACTATTATAAATGCTAACCCCTTGGGAACGTGCACGAGTATGATCACTGTCGTAACTTATATAGAGCAGTTACCAATCTGGTCTGAATGAGCATGCTCAGATGCATCGATGATGCTCACATGCTCGGTGTACTTGCGAAGGTCCGCAAACTCGCTGTCATAAGACGATCAATTTTCACTCGTCCCCGTACATGAAGACCAAGAGGGACACGAGTTGGACTGCAACGACGTTCGAATTCAGGCAAAAACAATGAAAGAAAACGGATTTACGGAGACATGGTGCTCCCCATGGAAGACACGGACACTAAGAATAACCCAACCAAACCAACCTAAAACCTACAAAACTCCAAACTGCACAAGAAGTCAGGAAGCCGGAGGCTCCAGCTGGGAGGATAAATCAATGACTGGAATACGTTTCCAACAGAAATGAACAAAAAGGCACCTGATTAACGGATCAAACGCGGAGATCAGTCGCTACAAAGAAGACCAGAAAGCGCAGTCAGTTAAACGAACGCAAAAGCCAACCGAAGACACAAATTGAGACACGCTAACCAAAACAACGATCAAATCGACCATGAGTAGTTTGACGAACCAATAGGGAGCATGGGATTAAAGAGATTAATGAAATGACGATAAAGTTGCCCCTCAATCAACCAAACACATCAAGAGATATGAACACTATTTAGAAACTATAAAAACGTAAGCAGACGGGGAAATGCCAACCCAACAGCCCACTGACGGTGTTCCCACGGTTGGTGACGAAGCGTTTGCAAGTAAACTGTCAAGTTTGGCGAACAGATCAACAGCCACCTAATCTACATCTAACTTATGAACATGTGATAGAGCGCACAGATTAATACGGAGGAGCCTGTAATCGGGCGAGATGCCAGCTTAGTAGAATTGACATCAGAAAACAGCATGTATCAAGCGGGAAGTCTGTATATAAACGACGCAACAACTATCCTAGCATTTCCTGGCCAGCCATCAAAAGTCCTTGACCCTGATCTTACGTCGGTGCTCTCCAAAGTATTTGATTCACCCGACTCAAAGCTGTCTCCTTGTTGTGGTCGAACTTCATGGCTCTATCAATCCTGTGGGCTACGCTGGCTAGAACTCAGTTCCTTGCTCAAAAAGCCGAAAAAGAGAGCGCTGTGTAAGGCATTTTCTGCGGAAACAATGCGTGGAAATTCACAGCCAAAGCATGTAGATGCGGATTCCAACCATCTAAAATAAATGCAAACAGACTGAAGTGGAATGTCTCACAACGTATGGAGAGTAGTGGCGTATGGGCCTCTTTATACACTAGAATGGTCCGGTAATGATCAGCTTGTCCCCACCCTCCGCCAAAGGACCTCTGTGGTGGGTTTTGAAACTCAACCTTTCCTTCCTGTAACTGGGATGTCTCGAAGTAATCCATCCATGCTAGTAAATGATACCACAAACTAATAAAATCGTTGACGCTTTCACATCTTCTATCATAACTGGCTAAGGTGCACAGGAACGATAGATTAATTGGAATCAGATCTACCATTGGACCATACTCTCAAACGCAACTCAACCACCATTCTCGTACGAATATTGTAAGTAATAGAGCAGTAGTGTAGATACAGTAGTCTCCAAACAGTGCGCATCCTCCCGACGGGCTAATATCGCGCTATTCTTCAACGCGCACTCTTCTGGGCGGCACAAGCCCTCGACTTTATATCCACCTTGATGGATATGAGTAAAAAAGTAACGGATGTGGTACTTACTAATTTACTTAAAATACAACGCCATATTAGACGTGATGGAAGGAAAAACGGACCTTATTTCGGCCGATGATTTAGCCCTCATATGCAAATCACACTTGGACGAGCATTCGCTCAGGCTGGTGGTTTGCCTCAGCGTATGCAACTGTAAATGGAGAGGGGCCATGCCTTTGTTCTCATTTAGAATGTACCGAGTCAATGTTCTCAGCTTACAGCGTTGAGAGGGCATATGCGAGCCTGATTAGTGTTGATCAGCAGCTGCAGCGCCACAGAGCAGATAATCGTGATAAGCCTAATATGCTACCAAGCTCGAGATAGCACAGTGGTCAAAGTGCGAACTTGATGACCGGAAAGTCCGTGGTTCGAACCCAACCCCCGCATCTCGACTGTTCCTGTCTAGGCATGGGCGACCTAACAGCCCTCATGTCTCCTTCAGGTGGCGTGGCAGCTAAGCACTAGGTACTACAGCTGAACAGTAACATGCTATCGTACGCGGGTTCAAAAGCGTTGCTACTCGTGCCCAAAAGGGCGGCTGTCAAGACTGAAGTCGTGGCTATTATCCAGGTCCGCAGCACTTTTTCGAGTGCTTTTTGCTCAGCCTAGGGTATGATTTCAAACTTCTTCATCGTCATCGACAGCATAACATCAGTGTTCAACACCAATGCTTCACTGCCATACAACCATGATTTATTTGAAAGCCTTATTGTAAAGAAAAGAATGAAGGTGGACGGGGAAGACTTAGTGCTAGTTTACCACAATCATTCCGAGGTACCTACACCTCCAGACATTCACTAAGGCATCTGGATAGAGACTGACAACAAGAACGCCACTGACATCGATTGGCAGCCACATCTTGTAGTGCCTCCAACCAGGAGCAGGGGGAATCACGCGGTCCTCATCCTGAAAGACGAATAGCACCGACAGCACCCAAGCGTTTCGTGATCTCCTTCATACTCCTCTGCCAAATCAAGGGTTGGCCAACTCTCTGTTTACGCCACTCTGAGTTGGGCATGAAAAACAGCACTCTCTTCGGCAAACGATGGTTCGGCATACGTAACACATGTCCCAACCAATGCAGCTTCTGGTGCTAGACACATTCTTCAGTGGAAGTACCTGTTACACAACCGAAAACGCGCTCTCTAACTGCCCCATTACACATTCGCCGACACCAACCTACATCAGCTATGGTTCTGAGACAACGATTGTCGAACACCTGAAAACGTCTCAGTTCCGCTGCTCGAATGGGCCAAGTCTCACAGCCATACAACAAAACAGCCCACACTGTAGCTTGATACACACGTCCCTTCAGATTCAGGGACAAACCACGCTGATGCCATAAGTCTCAAATTAGGAAACGCGACCCGGGCCTTGCAGATTCGTGCATTCTCACCTGTTACACCACAATCGGAGCTAACACAACTTCCAAGATATGTAAAACGCTCCACAACTTCCAGTAGCCTTCCCTGGATTGTAAGTGGCGTGTTCAGTGACTGCGGTTCACGAGCATGACTTTACACTTTGTGGGTACGAAATGCATACCAAAGGAGGTTATCACTTTGGTCAGTTCATCCAAGAACACCTGTACCTTCTCTCCCTCGAAGATGAGGATGATGTCGTCTGCGTACTTCAGATCGACAAGGTTTTCGTCACAGGATATTTGAACGCCGGGGTTTTGGAGACCCTCCAGCGTTCGTCTCATTATTTCATCGATCACAAAGTTGAAAAGGAATGGAGAGAGTGGGCATCCCTGACGGACACCGCTTTGTGTACGGAAGCTTTTGGCGAGCTCGCCGTATACTCTCACGTCGGAAGTCTGAGAATACAAAGAGCTTATTATGCTCACGAAGTTCCGGGGCATTCCTTCGTGAGCAACACCCCTGTATAGCTCAATGGATCGCCGAGGTGCGCAAACCGTCACACCACGGTAAGGTGCAGTCTCTTCGTGACAGGTGCGCGGTTGGCCTAAGACCGTCGGAGCGGCCTGTACTTTCAATTCATTACATATGTCCCGACTGGTCCTCAACTTGGAGAACCACAAGACTGTGTTGTTCATACCTCTACTGGTAGGAAAAGCTCTGTGAGTGTCAAACGTGCACTTGCCAGTATAGCTCAATGGATTATGAATGTGTACAAGCCGTCACAGCACGGTAATGTCCAACCTCTTCATGACGACACTATTCATCTCCTGAACTCTTGGTAGCAATCTGTCGCACTGGGCTACACAGAGGTACTTGGGTGTCATCTTTCAGAATGACGCAAGATCCTCTGAAAACTGCGCCTGAACTTCAAGAATTGGGAACAAGGAACCAATAATACTTTACCAAGCCTCTGGTTTCTGTAATAGAACGACCTTGCCCGGCGATCCCAAGAAGTTACGGTAGACCGCATCTCAAGTACGTCGTGGAAGCTTGGAGACCATGATAACAAAAGGACTAGCGACGGCTAAAACTAGGAACAGCGGCAAAAATGGCTCGAGTCNAAATGGCTCGAGTCGGTTGGTCAGACAGTTAATGATAAAAAGCACAGAGTGAGAACTACATCATCCATACTGGAGCTATTCCATATGGACCACCGGGTTTCCAGAGGACTCAGTTGTCATGCAGAATGCGGCACCTATCTGCCCGTTGGTCTACAAAGATCTGCTCAATGGGTTTTTTTAATTTGTCTCTGATTGCACGCACAGCGAGATGGCCCAAGTGGTTAGAGCGCAAATTTACCGACTGGAAGGTTTGTGGTTCGAACCCGACATCTGCCACTCGACTTCCCCTGTCTAGGCTTGGGCAACCTGGCAGGATCCCAGCCCTCGCGCTTCCCCCAGGTGGCATGGCAGCTAGGCACCGAAAGGGTGTTACAGCTAAACGGTTTTTTTTGGTTTAAAGCCCCGTCCAGCAGGCATCTCTGTTTATTGACCAGTCTCAATGACGGCGTACTCAATGGATTCAAACGCAGTCTTCTGGAAGCATACAGCCTCAGTCGACCACATCTGAATGACTCATCAGAGACTGTGTTTACAAAAAATCCTTCGAACCCCCATCCAGGCTTCTACGCACTGCCCTCCACATGTAGATTGGGTCAAGTTACAGCTCGAAACAGCTCAGTGATAAAGACGTGAACTTATCAACCAGACGGTCCGCGATTCGAACTGCCAGGAAGGAAGAAGTACCAAGACGCCCGAAAGCTACTGAGGCACTCAAACCCAAGCAAAATCGCAGTAGGGAAGCCGCCAACTCTTTAGGCCAGGAAAGCGAGCTTCAGATCGAACGCTCAATCAGTCAATCGATTCACCAACGGCCGACGAGTGTTCAGGTAAGTCACAGAAGCACAGTCGACGATGATGGATGTTCACTCAACACCGACCAGACAGCCTGAGTCAACGTCAAAAGTGCGCTTCAAATAGCGCGAAGCCCCTGGCAACTTTCGCACCCGCTTGTTTCTTGTTGACACTGGAGGAGGGGAAAACAGTTAGATACAAGACGAACTCAACCCGGGCATTTCGGGTGACTTTGAAGGATCTCTTACCTTGTGCTTCCTTTGGGTAGCATGACAACTAGGAACTCAAAGGGCGATACAGTCGAACAATTTAGATTGGGTCAACTACATGTCGCCCCTAGGTAAGGGAGAGCGCTACCTCCAACGTACGGAAAGGCACTCACACCTACAACCCGCTTCGTTTCACGGCACTTCACTCGCTCCAATAGAAAGCTTCCTTATTTGTTGAGCTCATTGTCCGTACTCTGAAACTGATCTACGAAGGGAGTCGAGATTTCAAGCCAAAAATACGGAACGGCGTGCGTCATCCTGCTCGAGCGTTAAACCCTCATGAATTTGCCATCGTTTTTTTGAGACAGTAATGACCAGGGATACAAGAGACTCTCAGAGAATGCACTTCCCGAACGGAGATAACCGCCAGATAGAAAACTGTATTCCCCGTGGAATACAGTGGAGTATTTAGTGGAGAGGTCAATCAGGAGGTCTGTCCAGAACGTACTACACTTGGTCCGCGTATCCTTCTGACGTCGACATGCATAATTTCAAGTGATCCACAAAAGACTGGGTGTTACGGCAGATCGTTCACACAGACCTCGGAGAGTTCAAGCCCCAGACTTGATCCTTGAGGGAGCCCCTGAATGTTATCCCTTGACCCTGATTGGATTGTGTACCTTAGAGAGAATCCTTCAGCGAGACGTGGAGTCCGCCAGAAGGCTAATCCGGTAGAACCGTCGGTATTGGATTTTATCAAGTCGACAGACCATGTTACTGAGATGACCAGCGTCTATGTCTTCGACCCAGAGTCCCCTAGCTACCATCAAATGGTTGATGCATAGCCCGCCTTGCTGAAAGCCACGTCTCTCAGATGTACACGCCTGGCCAGCCACCCCATCAGTTTTCCAGTGCCCGATCTGAAATTACCTTGATCGTGCTTATCCCCTGCTTTGTGGAGCGGTTTCACGATCAATCATTTTCACCCCAAAGATAAGAGAACTACATGCGGTAAGCGCTTAAAGTTGACACACAAGATTGACAACTGTCTCTGTTAGATAAGAGGGCGAGATGGCTCATTAGTTGGAGCAAATTTACTGACCGGAAGGTCCGTGGTTGCATCCGGCCTTTTCATCTGAACTTCCCTTGTTTGGGCTTGGGCAACCGGAAAGTATCCCAGTCCTCATGTGGCACGGAAACTGGGCTATTTTTATCAGTTTTTTTCGCTAGATCTTGGGATGGGATTGGTTAGGACCAGAGCGCGCGAAATCTGTTTCCATTCTCTGGGACAAAACCCACACCTCACAGCTGGGAGCCCATCATAGCCGTTCAACCATGATCATGAGTGTACTACTTTGGACAGGAGTAGCATTCCAAACGTCAATCTCGGTAACATCCCGGCTTTCATTATTCATTGGAGGTAAGCAGAGGTGCTGTAGGACACCGGTCGATATCTCAGCTGATACAGCCGACTGCCTCGCCGAATCGATGTCCACCGATTGAACCGAACTCCATATTTATCACGGAAGCTTTTCGATTATTATTAATTTAACCCGTTTCTTTTATTTGAGTTTAATGTCGTCTAAAAAGTGCAGTAGACTGAGCGTATGAACGTTTAGTCCCGTCCCTTAAATATGTGCACATCCTGTCGAACCCTGCCGCGGCATGATACCCCACCTACGTCATGGGTTTTTGGATGAGCAAAGGGCTTTCAATATTCTCCAGAACCCTCCAGCTGTAAAGCGGACTGTTGCGTGTTGACGAATTGTGGTATGGATGACCATTCGAGTCTGACGCCGAGGCTGCCGACAGGAAACCCCCACCTCCAACCTATACCTCACTCGTTGAAAAATACCTAGGTAACACCCTACAGTGCGAAGACTGGTGAAACCGGTTTAAGTAAAAAGGTGGCGCAAAAGCACTCGTTCACCCGACTTTTCAAACATCCTTTCTGAACAGAACTTCATGTACCCAGACAACGGCAGTTCAGTCACACGGGCGAGGTCTACACACCTACTCACACAATCCGCTCTTGACAGCTCTGTACACTACCTCTGAAGGTTTAGAAGTCCAAGCCTCACGTGACAAGCAGCCTGAGTGTCAAAGCAAACGCCTGTTAGGGTCTTCAGAAGGGATCCACCCAAGAGGGGATTGCCTGAAGTGTTTTCGCGTAGTACTGCAGCCCCCTGCCACGTGTTGCCTCTGTTCGCCCAATGAGTGTAATTAACATCGACTCGACACCTGTTAAGAAGGCATCCGTGACGTATCTACAATACAACCATTAGGTCACCATCTGGATCCTAACCTAACCAATACTCCCCGTAAAGTTATAAGTTAGTAGGTCTGTTGATAATTATTGATCATAAACCACCTGATATCTAGCATTTACATCTGTAGAGAGTTTGGAACCTGCTCAACACAACCCGGTAGACTTACCGTTCGTCAATTACCACAGTACCAACATCCAAGTTCTGGGACCCTTCGAATAGGGAGACATTCGGCTGTCTAACGACCATACTTGGTGAGACACCGCAAACCGCAACCATCACGCTCGGCGGACACCCAGTTTGTGTGCGAAGCTTAGGCCCAAGAGTCCGTAATTTGATTGGTTACTCGGGGCAGAGTTGAAGCACGGGGGCTGTCGACAATTTTCCAGGTGGCAGTTGATCACGGATTCACAGATCGGGACACAGGGTTGAGCTTTTCGCCCGGGCTTCCCTGGTCGGGGTTGTTCTTGTCGTTCGGTGGTATCTGATCACTTGAAATGCAAAAGCGAAAAAAAAGTATAACACTGCTCTTTAGAGCAGTGCTTAGAGCAGTAAGCTTATCAGCTCCAGAACTCACGTGAAACGGCGTCTAAAAGTGCACTTGAAACTGCCCTGAACGATATATTAGATGCAGCGCCAGCACTCGTCGGAGGAACATTGTTCCACCCACCTGCAAACCAAAATGAGAAAATCTCTTGTCTAATAAAGTTTACGCCGCGCTTAAAAATCTTATTATATCCCCGCCCTGAGCTAGCTGAGTCGACAGTGAAAACTCCATTGACCAAACCCTGCTCCAAAAGGACGTGGGTAAGTGTTAGTTCTCTTCGGGGTTGTGCTACAGCTGGGGGAAACAAGTCAAGCACTTCGGAAAGCATTTCATTATCAGCGGATTTAAGGCAGGCAACGCGTTTAACACGCTCAGAGAGGAACACTTATCTCTTACATCGTGAGCGGACAACTTAGTTGGCCTATTCAGTAAGCGATTCGACGTAGGCCCCATAGGGTGTCCGTAGCAGCATTTTAGCATCACAATACTTTTATCTGGAAAGCCTTTGAGAGTGGAATAAAAGTTTACCCCAAAATGATGCACTTTGTTGCATATGCGCAAGCACAAAATCACCCAAATCAACGTCTATTTTTTGCAGCTCGTTTTAAAAAATCCACTTCCAAAGTTTTGGCGCGCATTCTACTTTGAACTTGGTGCGCCATGACGGCGCTCATTATTGACTTTTCGAAAGCTACGACGTGCCCCTGATGGATTAAAAGAGACAGGCAATTGAGTTCAAAGTACGAGTCCAAACTTTTGAGCCCATCTAGGCATCCCAGGGTCTCATTAATGCTAGGAAAGTGATCCACCATACTTCCGCTAGGGGTCTAATTGCTTCAGTGGGCAATGAAATTTGGTGAGCTGTGAAGATATGAACGTAGATTAGGATGGCTTTTGGTGTGAGCACATACGCACATACGTAAACCGCTTTACTCCACCCACAAAGGTTTTGTAACTGGGACCGTTGCGCCGCACGAACCCGCGCGCGGTAAGTTCGAAATCGGTTTCGTTTTTCCCTCGTGCAAATTCGTGAAAATTTTTTTCGTTGCTCAATCTATTCACAGAGTACACACGAGTAATTGTTGAATTTTATTACTCTATCAAAACATTTGAGTGATAACCCTTTATATTTTGCGCACACCTATTTTACATCTAGTCCGAAACATGACGTCAATTCATACCGATCGCCCTCCGCAGCCATTGGTAGACCACAATAGATGTGGGCGGAATGGCTGCCCGTCCAACGTCAAACGCGGTATGCAATGCCACGCCTGCAAGGCCTTGTGGCATTTCAAATGCACGGGTTTACAGGACGACCAGATAAGCCGACTAGCCAACTCTCCTGACCCGTTTGTCTGTGCCAGCTGCCTCTACGTCAAGGGTGCAATGCATACCGCAGCGAAGAGAAGAGTCCCCCGAAACGGTACCCAATCCCCAGTGCAGATGCCGAAAGACCACTGCCAGTGTTCCGCTTTAATCGGGATACTCGACGCGAAATTAGAGCGTCCTTCGAAGGCATTGGAGGACTCAGGCGCTAGGAATGCAGCGACCTGGGCGAAAGTTGACAAGGAACTTTCCTCGCTGAACCAATACCTCGCGATGTCCATACCGGGCCCCATGGCTGCGAAGAAAGTCATACAACTTTCTGACGC